GATTTGATAGAAGTTGTTGTTTCTCTTTAGGCCAAAATTAAGCAGAAGATCCGTGAAATCGAGGAAAACCAGAAACGCATTGAAAAACTGGAGGATTATATTTCCACCAGCAGGTATGCTGCTCTTAATTTTGGATTGTTTTGAGCGGAGCTGTGGCAAACTTATTTTTATAGGTTTCTCTGGTTTACTGTGTGATTCACAACCTTCTTTTCCCATCAGGCAATCACTAGATGAGCAGAAGCGTATGGAGGAAGAGCTGACTGAGGAAGTGGAGATGGCCAAAAGGAGGATCGATGAGATCAATATGGAGCTTAATCAGGTACTCAATACACAGGAAAGAAAGAAATCAGCACCAACAACAAGCTGAATCTACTCTAATTGAGTTAGTTAATTTTTGCATGTGGTAATTCTGCTCCTAAAGACATCAGCCTTTTTCTATAGCTCATATTTTCCTGAACTGTACAAAACAAAGCATTATTTCTTTGTGTCAATCAGTAGAGTTGATTAAATAAATGATTGCTTTGTGGGTCATTAATCCATGTTAGCACAGTAGCTTGGGTAATACTGGATTCTATAAATTTCTTACATCTGTTATGGGAAGTGAATACGTCACCTATAGTAGCACCTCTGATGAGTCCCCTTATTATTGGACTGTGGTTTAGGTGATGGAGCAGCTTGGAGACGCCAGAATCGACAGGCAGGAGAACAGTCGCCAGCAACGTAAGGCCGAGATCATGGAGAGTATAAAAAGACTCTATCCTGGCTCTGTGGTAAGGCTCCTTTGGCACTATACCCATGCCGGGTCTGCTTTTCTTTTCTTTTTGGTGAAAGCATTTAAACATTGAGCGTAAGAGTACTAAACAAACAAACGTTTACTGATTGTGTTTTCAGTATGGGCGTCTGATCGACCTGTGTCAGCCCACTCAGAAGAAATATCAAATCGCTGTGACTAAAGTGTTGGGTAAGAACATGGACGCCATCATTGTTGACTCAGAGAAGACTGGCAGAGACTGTATTCAGTACATAAAGGAGCAGAGAGGAGAGCCGGAGACCTTCCTTCCTCTTGATTACCTTGAAGTAAGTATATAAA